ATTTGTGTGACATTAATTTTTAGGGAATTGTCCTCACTGTGGAAAACTGACACATGATAGTATGATAATGCAAAAACTGCTTTGTCCAGGTTGACATTTTGGCTCCAGCTGGTTTCTGTATTAGCTGACATGTAGAGGGGGAGAGAGCGAGTGAGTGGAGGGCAATTCACCTTGTTTCTTAGTGTAGATGCATTGAAAAAGCACTGTTGGTTTATGTCATGCATTCAGATAGGTTTTTCAGCTTGCAGTATTCAGATGAAATTTCAACACTTTGGGGAGAGAGTGAAATAGGGTTATTTGTCTGTAAAGTACACTGCAGGATTGATTCATTATGTTAGTTTTTTCCAGAATTTGGGATTTCTTCTTTTGTCTCGAACACATGCGTACATGATGGTCATATTTCAGACTCATCTAGTAGGTTTAAAATTTAAAGGCTGCTAGTGAATTAAAGCTAGAAGCAGATTGACTGATTATTCCGTGTAACTCTTTAATAACAGAATTGATTTATGCTGCACCTAGATTCAGTGTGACCCAGTATAACACCACATAATCATGTGGCACCAATAACCACAAAACCAGGAAGATGGCACCCTGAAGATGGGAAGCAGGAAGAACAGGTTGATGGTAGAGGAGGGCTTGTGGAGACTAGCTGCAACAGGCTGGTTGTGCTTCTCTGACTGCAGCTTTTATCATTAAGCTGGAAAGCATAAATGAAAGGAATACATTAGGAGCTCATAAAGATTTCAGCCTGTCACTGTTGTGTATGCCTGTCTTTCATTCTCCCAAATACAACATTCCTGCATATGTCTGTATATGTCTCCCGCTCAATACTCCACTCTTCTTTTAGTTACTTTCATCTGCTCCAGTTGGATTCAAAGTGGCTGCTGATCAGCATGTTGTCTTGGTGCAAGGCAAGGTCTCCTGTCTTCCACTGAGATCTCAATTGAGCTTCCAGCTACTGGTCTGCTTAACTGCCGGGTGCAAGCAACCACTGATGTCTGATAGTTAATAAGCATTTGCTGCTAATCAGCTACTGCAAAATGCAGCTAGGGTCAGGTACAGCAGTGGCTGCTTAGCATGTGGAGCCCTGGTCACCGTAGTTCGTAACAGCTGATCAGAGGTGTTGGAGGTAACTGGTTTTCTCCTGGGAGGGGACAGAGATAGGGCTAGTTAGCTGCCTGGTGGTAGCTGTGTTTTGAAACAGTGATTCTCTGTGGTTACTAGTGGTGACCTTTTAGTTCTGGCATAAATGGAGCAGCAGTGGTGTGATCTGGAGCTGGGAACAAGTAGAGAACTTCATGGCTTAAAGGATGCTGAGCGAGCTGTAAGCAATGAACTTGGTCAGATGCAGTGAACACGAGACACTGAGCAGTTTCTGCTTACCTACCAGCTTTTGTCTGACGAGATAGGAACAGGGACACTGCTTTGGTATGGCTCTTTCCTCCCCATTTCACACCCTTTCCTCCCCATTTCACACCCTTTCTGTTCTCACCTTCAGAATTTCCCAGGCCGACTGTCTCTGGGCTACCCAGCATATGGAGGTGAGCAAGTCCAGTGCTCTCCTCATGAGCTGCCAGGCCAAGAAGTGGTGGCCTTTCTGGGCTGTTGCTCTGGGCTCTCTTGTACAGAGAAAGGAGGTACACCTGGCAAGTTCTCACCTACCTAGTGTGGCAGGATGTGTCTGATGGTGTGGCTGTGTGTTGTTTGGGTTTGCCATGAAACACAGAAAGGACAGGTTGAACTGACATATGGTGGAAGGGCCAGATAGCAAATAGATGAAAATTGTTTGCAGCCTTGTATTTCAGTTTTGGTTTTCTGTGGCAAGGTCTAACAACATCAACTTTCACACATCTGGCACACAAGCTTTGTGCTATCCAAAATATCGCTTCCAAAAATCCTCTGTATTGACACTGTGATTGGAAGGATATTTTTCTCTCAAAGCTAGCAACTGCTAAGAGATTTGGAAGCGTAATTCAGGCTGTTACCTGCACTTTGTTCTGCAGATGCCCTTTTGCAAAACTATAAATCCTAACTTGCCCAAAGGAGCTCTTTAAGTGATGTTATTAGCTTGGTTCAAGTCAAACAGTTTGACATTCTTTGAACAGAAGTATTATGTGAGGTTGATGGCCTGTATTCCTGTACTTCAGCTCAGAACTTGAAACTCATCTCTGCCACAGGCACGCATGGTTTGTTTTCAAATGCTTTGCAAATGAATATTTTATTAGGTAGCTGTGGCCAAATACTGCAGGATGGCCTTTGATATGCTTTGTAGCCAAGCGGCTTTAGCTGTGTTGGCAGAGCCCTCTGGTGGGAATGCAGCCTGTGCCAGCAGAAGCTGGTCCTGTGTGCAGTGCCACCCACTTCTCCCAAATGCTATCAGCTGGCCCGCTCTTGGCTCAGTGGCATCCCACCAGCTGTTTGCTTGAGTGGTCAAGGGGTTCCCCTTCATCCTGTTCCTAGCCAGGAGAGCAGAGCCCTGTGGAGCGCACTTGGCCTTTTTTAGCAAACCTGATGGTATGCTGTAAGCGCTTGTATAATTTTAGGTGTTGCTTTGCAAAATGTGACGGCTCTTTGGGAGTAATAAAGTTAGCCAATTACAAGATAATATTTTCCTAATCCATATCGCAGTGTGGGAGAGCTGTGACGAATTTCAAGAATTGCTTGTATGAATTTCAACAGTATGTATAAATAACCTTTTTCTAAAAGTACCACTTAGTAAAAGTAACTGATTTACTTAGGCATACAGTAGGACATTTCTAAATCAAGACCTGCAGCCTTCCATTTCTGTTGGTCAGTAATGCTTTTGCTAATCAAGGTGTTTGAGGAAAGGGCTTTTGTGTTTTAAAGTACCAACTTACTGAGCACGAAGGAAAAAGTTGTTACACTTGTCTCAGCTAATAGTATTCAAAAGCCAGGTTAGGACTGCTAGATGCACTGCCAAACCAGAATGTGCAAACAGGTCTTTTAATCTGATGAGGTCCCTAAAGTGTAGATATACAGGCCAATAACTCTCCTGCAGGAAATCCAACTGTTTGAAATTGTTTCACAAGTAATGCAGTAGTACTAAAGTGTCTTTTTTTTTCCTTACAACATGCTGGCCAGAGCTTTTCATTCACCATTGATCTGAAACCTTCACAACTGTGCCCAGTATTTTATCTTCATTAAAATAAAAAAGGAGGAACATGCACCATAGCTTGAAAAGGCAATTGCCTGTGGTGGGCAGGAACCCCCTTGGATGAAGTTGGAGAGTGGCGGCAAGACAAAGGCAGACATACTTGTTTCATGATCAAGTTTTCGTTGAGACAGACGTATAAATTCTTCCAAAAGCTAAATTAACCTTCATGGCCTATATTTGAAATGCCAATTTCAGTTCTTTGCCTTTGCGTTGAACTCCTGTGCTCCTTTGCTGGGGTTCAGCAACACAGAACCTCTCAGTTAAGAGACCTGTCATGCAAGAGGCAGTCGCGTGGTGGAACTCCTTGCTGCAGGTTGTTGTGAATTCCCAAAGCTGAATATATTTCAGAAAGCAATTAAACACACTTGTGAAAGGAAAATTCACCAGTATGATTAGATGCAGATACTGCTTTCATCTGAGAATTCCTCAGCTGCAGCCAGGGCAATGGGGTGGGAGGTGCATGGCTGTGTGTACTCACCCTCTTCCTCCTTACCCTTGGTGGAAGGCAGGATGCTGAACTAAACAGGGCTCCTTAAGGCCCTGGAGAGGGCTGGTTTTTCTGTGGTTCTTGTCCCCCTCTGCTGATAACCGGAGGAGCTGCGATGGGGGGAGTACCAAGCTGTTTCTGATGGAGGAGGACTCTAACCCTCCTCCCGCAGCCTAGAGAAGTTTTTTGTTGAGGGATATTGTTTCTAGAGGAGCCTTCCAGTTTGCCTGCAGTCTGATTTGGCATTTCCCATGGCCCGACGGCTTTCCTCACCTGTAGTGAGAGTTTCACCGCAGGCTTATTACAAATACACACAGGAGGCAACACAAAGGTTTTTTCTTTCTTGCAGGACGGCTCCATCTTCCTGTTTTTCTTATAGCGTTGTGGTTAGAGGCTTTAATTCTTTGGCAGGTGGTGTATGGTATATTTTTCAAGTCCTCCATCTTTTGGCTCTTAGGATAGTCTCTGCTGTGTGACTTTATGAAGCTGTTTAAAAGCTATTTTTCTAATTTCTGAATTGAAATTCCCTTAAATTTGTATTGCGCAACGTCATCATGATTCAGCTTTGTAGAATACCACCTTACTTCCTCAGGTCATCTTGTTCCATGCTCTTTTTAAGATAGTCACATGCAATTTTTATCCTGTGATGCAACAACCCTCCTGAGTTGTCTATTGTAACTCAGAATTTCAAATGTAAATGTTGCTTTAACACTACTCGTGGTTATTTCTAATCTCAGAGTCTTGTAACAATCTCTTGGAGAGTTCATGCTTTTTGTCTGTACTTTTTATTTCAAATTTGTATTTTCTTTGAAAGTGGCTGATGATATAATATTTGGAATTTTTTAAATAATCGCTGCTCTTCTGAAGAACTCGGTGAAGTCTAATATTACCGTTCAAATAGGCAGGTGAGAGCTTTGGAGATCGGTAATTTGTACCTTTTAAAAAGCCGCACTGCCTCGCTTTTGTCTCAGAATTTATTATGCTTCCCAAGTATAATGTGACATACTGAATAGGGCAGGGGGTGGGGACATTGTCTTCAGCTGACATGCTGTTATCAGCGGGACTGTGTTTCTGGACACAAGATTTCGCAGTCATTGGTCGTCCAAGGAAAGCCTTTCCATCTGAGGATTGGACAAGAAGATGCGTCAATTTGCTGCCCGTCTCCAAGGTACTGGTGATGCTGCCTCGACAAGCTGGCTAACGTCACAGCTCCATCACCCAGCGGGGTGTGGGCTTTTTTCTCCTCTTCTCTGTTTTAATTCTGTATTTGCTTCCTACTGCATTTCTTAATCTGTCTTCTGCCAAATGCTAACAGCATGATATTTTGCAATCATTTAGGTGAATACAAGAAGGACGAACTCCTGGAAGCTGCTAGGTGAGTGCTACTTAGAATATAAAGCATATTTTGGGGGTGGAAGCAGGAGAGGAAAAGGGATTTTTAAAACAGTAATGTTTTGTCATTGCCTTTCCGTGAAATGATGCAAACAAACCACTTCATTAGCATAAATCTCTTCGGACTTTACAGTCTGGTACAAATGGAGAAGCCTGTTTATGTAATTGAAATCCCCCACTATGGTGGTTAGAAGGTTAATATTGAGTTTTTGCTTTAAGCTGCTTAAATCCTCTTTATCGTTTTGTGACTGTTCTTTTTAGGGGCAAATTAAATATTGGAATTTTTCTTTTATTTTGGTTTTTAGTGCTACCTTAGGATATATTTTGAAAATAGGCTTTATCAGAACAGAGCATAAGGAAGCCTATACAAAAGGTGTAAAGTTCAGTTGTATATTCCAAAAATGCTTTCATCCTTCCTTCTGACAGCGCAAGAATGTTTTATATAGACTGTTAACCCTTCTAAAAAATTTCTGGATATTGGTATGTAGTTGTTTCAAATGTTATGTGCCATATGCTATGAAACTGTATTCAATTTAGAACGCTTAATTCAGCAAATGGCTTTCAGAGGATCTGTAAAATTAGATAAAGGAAATATAGGATGAGTTTAAGGACATAAATTAATAGGTGTTTTTGCATGATCTGCAAATTTAATATTCTTTTCTGTATTTACCCTTGGTTTTGAAATGTTCAGAAGATCCTTTAGCCATCTGACATTCTCCCTGGCAGAGTACAAATTTCAATATACTGTACTTTGATATCCAGCTCCTTAGCAAATGTTTTGCAGAGAGCTATGTCTTTTTTTTTTTCCCCGTTTCCATAATCCTCTCCTCTCCATTTACAGGAGTGGTAATGAAGAAAAACTGATGGCTTTATTGACTCCTTTAAATGTGAACTGCCATGCAAGTGACGGGCGTAAGGTAAGTTAATACCTGCTTTATATTTCTGTTATTCAAGAAAGGCCAATTTAACCATACTGGAAAGCATAGATGTATAAACCAAGAGAGTGTACGGGGGTAAAACCCATGATGTCTTTTCACCATGAAATTAAATGGTGTTGTACTTGATGCTGGCAGTTGTGACAGATCAACAGTCGGCGGACGTGTGTGCCTTTTGTGTGTGTCTTTTCTTTTAAATGTCAGACCCTGGCGTACATGTAAAGTGAAACCTTTAAAACCTTTTATAAGAAAAACAAGATGTACTGTTGCAGATGAATCAAATAACTACGGCAGGAAAGTTATTTGGGTTTGCACATTGTCTGTGTGAGGTGATTGGTATTCGGCTTAGCTCCTAATGCCTTGCCACGTAGCCTGGCACTGTATTGATATGCTTAACACCTTCTGCATTTTCTTAAATTTGACACTATTGTTTTGACTTTCTCTGGCAGGGATGTTTGAATGAGTTAAATTAAGGATTAGGCTGAAACTGGAGGAGGGAAGAACATACGGAGTGAGAAGTAGATCCTATGATTTTTGATGTTTTAGACATCAAGATGATGGTCTGTCTAGACTGTTGGATTTACAAACATTGGGGGGTTTGTTGTTTGTTTTGTTGTTTTTTTTTTTTTTACTGTGTACCAGAATGTTCTTAATCTGCATCTCTTAAAAACATCTCTTGTGTAACAGTACATCTCACTCCTGGAGATAAAAGCATGGGAGTGTTTTCCTTTATAGTTTTCTTTATTTTTGGTGGAGTGTGTTGGAGCATAGTGTAAACCTCTGCCCATTTTGGAATTTTTGTGGAACAGCCCAGTTCTACTGAAATCAATGGAGATAGGCCAGGTTATGCTGCCTTTTCATTAAAAGGCATGTTGTTGATGATTACAAAAATGTAGCTCCATTGTGAAAACATTCCTATTTTTAATACACATTTTAAAATGTTTTCTCAACTGTCATGCTTATGATATCTACTATGTGAAAGAAAGCCCACCCAGCTTTTGCTTGTTTACTTTTATCACTGATGGAAAGTTAATGAATCTTCCAGGTTTTTAAAACAATTAATTTTATGATCTGAGGACAGGCAAATGAACAAGGGCTTTATTTAGTTCAGCTGTATTGGAACTGATTAAATACTCCCCATAACATATTGCCCATAGTTCTTCATTTCCCTTTTCTTTTTTTTTTAAGACTTTACCATTCAAATGAGATTGTATTTAGGTATTAATAGTGCACTGTGGTGTTATAATTAAGCATAGTGGAATACAGCACTGCATTACTGAGTAATTGAGTCCCCAGCACTATTGATTTAAGGTCAAAGGCAGAGTTGTGATTTCTGTCAATATGGAGAGGAATAAGCCCTTGCAGATATGTTATCTAGAATATTTATCACTGTTAAAATAAAAAAAAAAGCTTTTAAAATTCACGTTAAGCTAGTGGAAAATATTTATGTGTTATTGTAGCCTCTGACTTAGTTTGAAAATTTATGCCCAAAGCTCAGAAAGCATATTGCAGTTAAAGCTAATCGATGTGGACACTTTAATTTGTTTGTGTGTTTGGTTGTTGGGAAATGCATTGGTTATTAAAACTCCCTTTAAGATGGCTTGCCATTGATATTAATTAGCTTTTTTTAATGATGCCTACCAGATTTATTTTTTTTCCCCACCACCTTAAACAGTCTGTACACATATGAAGTAATTCTCTGTAGCAAGTGTGCTGTATAACTGTTAAGTATTTCATTTGTAAGGCAAAGCTTTCAGGTCCTGTACTAGTGCAAGATCACTTAGGGTTTAACCATTCTAAGCTGTGCTGCAAATTAAGTGAACTTTTCAGCCTACAGCACAGCATTCTTGTAAGTGAAAGTCTCTGCTGGTGTAGCTGCCTCCGATTGACCTATGCTGATTTACACTAGCTGAGAATTTGTCCATTTTGGAAGTTGGCTTTTGCATTCCTTGATGCTTTTTGTAGGTTTTTTTTGCAGATCCCTTGAGTTTTCAAGCCTCAAACTTACTACAGTGTAAGGCTACAGACATAACGCAGCTGTCAGGGCCAGGAAGTGCAGACTCTGTGGAGTGGCCTGAGATTCTCAGCATCACACTTACTCTATAGTACAGACATATCCACAAACTCTTGAGTACACGCTTCTCCAGTTTATGCATTCCTTGGCTTTGCACGTTTTTGAGATGCCCAGCACTACTCTGTGTTCCATGCATACTAACATCTGGAGTTCCTGGATTTCCCAAACACCACATCTGCTGTGAGGTTGTGCTTCATAGAACAGATAAAAGGGGTGGAAAACTCTGACAGTAGCTTGCTGGTTTGAAACCAGCTTGGGTTGGAAATAACAATGACTTATTGCATTCTGTGCTGCTTGCAGCCTTTTTGAAAATTATTGTTAGCCAGAGTCTGATTCCTACTGGACAGGAGTCCATGCTGCTAAAACAGTTACAACTGGTACTGATAACCATTGCTCCATCTGTTTGTTCAACATAGAGGTCAAAGGCTGAATAGGAGTGAAAACTGAACTTGCTTCTTCCCCTCCGAGTCACAGTTTAGATAAATTATGAGCACTGCAGAAATGTTCACATTACTGAAGCTCTTCAGCTGTTGCCTGAAGAGGGAATTCATTCTCTATTGCTACTCTTGCAATTATTTTCTGGAGTGAAAAATGAAGGCATGTGTGCGAAAGAG